AAAAAGGGCAGAATGCACTTTCAGCTTAGAAAATAATTATAGGCCAGTTCTCACCCTCTTCTTAGAAGGCTTCAATCTGTGAGACAACTCCCCAAATTGTATCATCACCTTAGGAGAAAAAATATAGTGTGTTTTATTGTCTGCTCTGCTTTTCAGGAGTCTTTGAAGACTCCTTATGGCTTCCAGGCTGTGAGTGCAGCATACTGGGACAACCTGAGGAAAACACATGGTGCTTTGATGATGAAAGCTGAGGCCAAGAGTGCAGAGGTTAGGAGAGGGTTGTTGTCAAAATGCCACTGCATCATTTTCATTCACCCTCTCTGGCTGTGGCCAGGTGGGCAATGTTTATGCGCTCCGGAGTGCCTGTTGTCCCCTGTAACGTGCAAAGGAGCAGAAACAGCAGCAGCTGTGAAATGCGGCGCTTCCCCACTGATACATCTGGACCAAATCTCCTTCGCCCAGCAAAGAGGAAAGGCAGTGCCTCACTTACTCTTGGGAAGCAGGGTAAGGGGAAGAGTGACAAGGAGCCCTAAAAGCAGAAGTCAGAGGGATGGTTGGCAAATGAATGTGCCCCTATCCTAGCATCCTCATTTGCTCTGTTTTACAGAGATGCAGGAATTGGAATACTTTTCCTCTAAAGATGAGAAACGGTGCTTGGGTCTGTGGGATGTGACCCTGATCCTCAGTCCCTCCGTTCCAGCTGTTTGCAAGTGAAGGCTATAGACAGTTGTGCCAAGTGGAGCATGGAGCTCGTACAGCAGGGCTCGAGATGAGGGATGAAGCAGATCCTAGCTCTTGCTGTCTTCATCTCTGCCTTGGCCATTTGGACCACAGCGGCGATGCTGGAAAGCCTGGCACAAAATATGCTTGCATGCAGCAGGATAAGAAGGAGCGTGAGCCAAGGTGAACCAAGCCCTGTATGAGTCTAAAAGCAGTTTTAGTTTGGCAGTAAAGAGTCGGGGAAATGCTTTTCCTCCATTTAGTGCCATTGAGAGAGCAAGACAGCGGCCTCCTCGGGAGTACGTTTCCAGCCACTTTGAGCAGGTATAAATGATCCTTCAAGGTGCTGCAGTGTGGTATTTAGGATCTTTATGATCAGTAGGACCCTGGTCATATGATCAGACAGAGCTGGAAAATTAAATGGAAGCTGAACAGAACTGATCTGTGAAGCAGGGTGGTGATGGCCGGAAGGGAAGGGGGTCTGCATTAATTACTCCTTACAAAACTAACTCTATCCTGAAAGAAATACTAGCTCCATAAAGTGAAACGCAGCTGCTGCACTGATGACATCAAAATTGTTCTTCTGATCCGTCATTTTCCACAGGAGATTCTCCTTTTTTTGCTTTAATTTTCCTCTTTTTTTTTCTTTTTTTCATGTGCATAAAATAACACTAATGACAAACTGTGGTGCCTGTGAGTGAGTGACAGCTGAAATAAGAGAAATGACTAATCATGCCTGCTGAAGCCCTGTCGCATGGAGATTAAATGAGCCCTTTTTTCTTCCCCCCTAAATGAGAATCGTGGGCATTTGAATAATAATATTATAGTCTCCATTAGGATGACAGTGGGGGAAAAAAATCGGCTCAGGCCTGTGATTATTCCTTCAATCTAATAATTATTTAAATACCAGATAACTCCTTTCAGCCTAATTGAGGCCTTTCAGCTGCTTGGGTTTATATTGTGTCCCTGAATTTACTCTCTCTTTCACCTTGCGTTACTAATAGCTTCAGATTGCTTTTAAGGCCATATTTTAAACTCGCTTACAGGAAAAAAAAATTTTAATGGTCAAATAGTATTAAGGATTGGAGTTAAAATCACCCACTCTCTCATTTCCCCTGGTGTTTAACTCCACCAGCTGTACCGAGCCATCCCCAAACTTCTCCTGTAGGTCCTGGCTACCAGGTAGGAAGCAAATTTCCTTTGGTGTTTGACCTCTGTGTCGCTGAGCCCTGTTGAATTCAAAGGTGATCTGCGGTGGCCTGTCTGCCTCCTTGCAACCCCTGGTACGCCCGGCCTCGGGCATCACCTGCCTGGGTTTAGCTCGAGCCGCGTGGCTGAGCGCAGCTGATCGGGCCAGTGCTGCCGCGGGGTGACGATGCGTAGCTGGGGCAGAAGTTCTTCCACTGGCACGTTTGGGTGTGGAAGACGATGTCAGTTCGTGGCCGTGCTCTGTCGTCTTCCAGCGTTATTTGAAGCAAGATTCTTCTTCCTGGGCGATCTTTCTTGCCTTTAGCAATGACTGCTCTCAAATACTCTGCAAAACCCTCATTGTGAGGTACTGCATAAAAGTTGGACCTCAGCTGACAGCTCTGCTTCACAAAGGCTCAAACCTGGCTTTTGGTTTTATACCG